ATAATTCATAAGCTAGGACCTCTTAGGGATTATAAAAGGATTTCATCAGCTATGTGCAGGCTTATGAAGCCCAGTTTGGCAAGATCGATGAGCAGCAGCTTCCAGTCTACATCCCTGGAACCAAGGAGAAGCGGATTTTGAAGAAGCGGGCATAAGCAAGATGCCAAAAGGGGGTGTGGAAATATGGTGGAGCATATGAGCAGTGTGGCATCCTTGCTTTGTTGGGGATTCAGGCCATTTGGCCAGTGGCTTTGGGTTCCTGTCTGACCATTTGGTCTTTGGCTGTTTTGGCGATGGTCAATGACCATGGTTTGGTGCTGGCGCGAGCATTGGACCTCTGAAGCTTCGCTTGTTGAGCTGTGGGATCGGAGATCCTTGTTCGCGGCACGTTGTGGTGCAGGGTGCGGCATTGCGTGGGATGAAAAGGTTGAAAGGCCAGCAGCGGCCATTTGATGCTGATGCTGGCATATGAAGATGTGTTTCAATGGTTGCATTGGCCTTTGGGTCACAAAAGGGCAAACTATGAGGTCTTTGAGACCAGAAGGTGAATTCAAATGTTTTGCAGCTTGGCAAGCCAAGCTGATACGAAAACTGGATGAACAAGATAGAGAGGATTTTGTTTTGTGGAACGACGTCAACGGTTGACACCGTTCATGCACGTTTTGAGTTTCCATATGCTACAAGCATATTTGGAAGTGTTCATCTTTGAGCTACATGACATGAACATGTCGTAGCAACAGAGCAGAGTGTTTGGAACAGCGATTTGCTACAGCAGCTTTTGGATCGCTGTGTTTTGGCTCGACAAGAGCAAGCAAGGCAGATGAATAGAAGTGTAAGGATAGAAAACACCACAGAGTTGACAGAAAGGTCACCTTGTTTGGTTTGGTGGTGAACCGGATCCAGAGCTGTCTTGCGTGAAAAGTTTGCTGGAGCTTGTGTTGCACTCGCTTTTTCGAGTTGTCTCGATTCGCTCGTTCGTGCGCGTAGTAGTGGCGTAGGTTGCGTGTACACGTACTGGACGCGACACGTCGTAATAAGCGTAGTGGTTGCGCTTCGCATGGTAGCGGAGCCCTGTACGGTGGGCTGTAATGACGCACGATCCAGGTTCGCCAACGAGCGCAGAGATGGGATTCGCACAGCTTAGACAGCGTCAGGAACAGGCAGCTAGTGTACCGGTAACGTCCCCACCGCAGAGTTCAGGACAACCGAGTAGCGGTAAAGGATCGTTTCGAGGGCCAGAGGTTCCTAGGTTGCCAGGAGAAGGGTTTGCGTCAGGAAAAGGAGCACAGCAACAGTATCCACGAACATCGGGACTAGGAACACAGCCAGGATTTCCGTTTCAACAAACAGGTGTGTATCCACAAGCAGGTATGTGTGGTTACGGTAACGGACAACAGCAACAGCAGCAACTGCAACAGAGTGGTTTTGCACAGCCATGCGGGTACGTGTCACACCCATATATGTCGAACATGAACATGCGTGGTATGAGTATGAGTTCACCAGTACATGTACAACCTAGTGCGCAAGACATGATGCAGTTTTCGAGTTCGATGTCTTTTGGCCAGATTCTGCAACTGACTCAGTTTTTGCAGGAGCAAATCAGAACACGTCAGCAGTCACCTGAAATGTTTGGTCAGATTCCGGCGGTGCGCTCAGACCCTTTCGTTCCGGACCTTCAGGCAGCAGGCTTACCGTTGCCTAGTATGAGTGTGCACCAGTCAGCAACGCCAGGAAGAAACGTGAACAACGGAAATGCAAACCAACAAGTCGATGTGTTTTCGAAGTCGGAAAAATGGATTGGAACTCCCCCAACTCCGAAATTTGAGACATGGAAAGATCGAGAATCAGAAGTGCTAGGATGGAGTCAGTACCTCAGTGATCTAGGGAGCTGGGCCAGCCAAGCGTCTTTAGAGTTTGGTCATGAAATCGCACAAGCAGCACGTTGGTCGACAGTGATCGCCTGGAGCTCAATGACAGTTTTGCAACGTGCAAGATCGATGAGACTTCTAGCTATCTTGAAGTCTACGTTTTCACAGCATCCTAGAACGTGTACACTTGTGAATGCCTTTGTTGAGGGTGTTTCATCGGTGTCATTGTCATTTGGAGCCACAGATCCAAGTCAGGAAGGCAATGGTTTCGAACTGCTTCGACAACTCACGATTGAATACAGTTTGCGAACAAGGAACGAAGCGTTGATGTTTCGTACGTCTCTTGCAATGAAGAGTTTCAAACTGGATGCAAACGAAACGAGTCCTTCATCTTTGGTATCAGATGTGATCAGGAAACTAGATCTAGAGGCAGCAAGGTATCAGAAACTACTATTGACTCTTCCTTCAGGTATTGATACGGTAGGACTGCAGTTGACGGACGCCGACTTGCTTACAGTATTGATTCGGTCGTTGCCCGAGCAAGTGAAAGCGTTTGTGCTACACCACAGTACAGGTGATTCATATTTGGCCTATAGAGAGGCAGCACGTCGTTGGGAACACAACCAGCGATTGTTCCAGGATCTGTCACCGAAGGCTGGGAAAGGTGTTTCTCAGCTTGGGAGCAACACGGAGTGGTTTTGGTTTGATGATGGAGAAGAGGCAGGCCTGATTGATGCAGTCGGGAGCCAAGTCAAGTGCACAAAGTGTGGAAGCAAGAAGCATGAAACTGCAAGTTGCACGGTCGACTTGACCAAAATCAAATGTTTTCGTTGTGGACAGTTTGGACATGTAGGTTTGAACTGTAGTCAAACTGCAACAAATGGTGGAAAGTCAAAACGGAGTTCAACAGATGGTAAAGGCTATGGTGGAAACGGAAACGGAAACCAGAAAGGACACCAGAAAGGAAAGCAAAAGGGAAATGGAAAAGGGAAATATGGCAAGAAAGGAAAAATGAATGAACTCACATACGAAACTGAAACGACAGAGAACGATGACACGTGGTGGAACCAGCCGGACACAGATGCATGGTGGTATGCATGGGACTCCCATGATTGGGATACAGCAGATCCCGATGCGTGGTGGTCGGAAGACGTTCCGACGCAGGGAGCAAAATCCAATGACATGGAAGAGCCAGGTCAAGCGGTTGGGAGCCTTATTTTGTCACCTGTGTTGTTCAGAAGCAACGAGCCTAGTGGTCAGGAGCTTATTAGTAGCTATGGCAGTCAGCAAAAGAACTCACATGAACTGTTGCTTTCATGCATGTTCAGCTCAACTTGTCAGCAAACACCGGAACACCTTCAGGGACTGATTTGTCAGGACCCTAAACGTGTGCGAGTTGTGCTTGAGTCAGATGTGCGTTCGCAGTTTGCAGAACACACCATGTCATGTGAAAGACAAGCAAAACGCCTTTTCTGTTTTGTGGAGCCACTTCTTTCTGAGCTGTCTTTGCATGATGATGCAAACTGGTGGTTGTTGGATTCGGGCGCGAGTGTGACCGTTCTATCGACGTCTTTTGTCGAGTGGTATCGCGCTCAGATCACACCTATGCAAGTCGGAGAGAAGCTTAAAGCAGCAAATGGTACAAGTGTAGGCATGACTGGTTTGGCAAACGTACACGTTGAGCTGTTGATGCAAAACGAAAGAAACCAGACGAAATGTTGGCAGAGTGCAAGGTTGGATGTTTATGTAGGTGAAACGAATCACAATATCTTGAGCACGAACCTGTTGTGTCAGGCAGGCTGGTGTTTTGAGCAGAGGTCAGAAGGTGTCAAACTTTTGCATGTTTCTTCAGGCTTGGTGGCAGGTGAGACATGGACCTTTGCAGGCTGTCCATGGGTTCGTCTGTATCCTTCATCGGGCCATTGCAAGTTGACAGGGCCAGAGCAGTTGGCCTTGACCAAAGGCGGAGGAACTCAGTCAGGGTTTGGCGGAGATCTTAGACCGTTGTCTAAAGCCTCAGAACAAGAACTGCAAACACACAGACTACAAGGCCATTTTCCTTTTGACCCACGGTGTGTGGTATGCGCACAGGGCAGAAGCGTTTTTCAGCATCGACGAAAGAGTTCAACAGGGATAGAAGCATCCATTGAAGCTGATTTTTGTTTTCTGTCCAAAGCAGGAGAGTTATGTGAAACGGAGGACGAAGGGCCGCATGTGAAAGTGTTGGTGATGTGCGAACGCCTGTCAGGGTGTGTCGCATACGTACCAGTGTGGAAGGACTTGACAAAGGTGCGTGCAAATATCATCTTGTGGCTGGAGCATTTTGGACTTACATCGGAAAACTGCAGCATTGTTCTGCACACAGACAAAGAAAGAGCTGTGTCGGAGCTCGTGGGCAGGTCAAGCAAGCACTATGTTTTCCAGGTCCGCAAGAGTGCGCCACAACAACACCGATCAAGCGGAGGAGCAGAGAGAAACGTGAGACGACTGAAGGAGGACTTGAGCGTTTTGCGGAAAGACATGCAGTCGCATCATGTTGATATTTGTTTCTCTGAACAAGGGTTGGAAGATAGCCTCACCTACCTGTCTTTGATGCGCAACCATTTTGGTAAGTCACGGGAGACTAACATGACCCCGCTGGAGCTAGCATGTAACAGACCATTGTCGCGACCTGCGTGCACGTTGTTTGGGGCCAAAGTTCTCGCAGAAATCCCTGATTCCTTACGAGCGTTGGCGCCGAATTGTTCGAGGTCGATTGAGGCAGCGTTCATACATCCAGGTATGGGGACAGGTGCGGTTGTTGAAGGTGCGATTGTCGTGGACGGTCGTTCGGAGATCCGTAGGTTTTGTGCGAGGAATGTGAGGCCAGTTGTTCCCTGTGAGTGGTCGCTTGAGTTCGGCAGAGGGTTTTTACAGCCGGTTGGATCGGAAGATGCGGATGTGTTAATGGATCAACGGCCGCCAGGTCAGGTAGCTGTGGAGGATCTTGGTGAGGAGGTTGCAATTCCCCCGAGGCCACTAGTATCCAAGGCACCAGGCTTGGAGGTAAAGGCAAAGAAGGTTACGTTTGAAAGTCATGTTCCGGGACAACCACGGGAGAAGACCCCAGGCTGCGTGGCGTGTGAAACGGGCATGCATGGGCCAGGGATGCGACATTCTGCAAAATGCCGCAAGATCAAGGAGGAGCAGGATAAGGAGGCCACGCAGGTCCACGACAACATGGAGTACACGCCCTCAGAACCACCCGACATGGAACAACATGGTGATCAGGACATGCGTGCGCGTGAAAGCGACATGGAGGTAGAAGAATCAAATGTGCAAGAACCTACACCCGAAATAGCATCCGAATCCAGTAAGGATCAAAAGGGGGTAAAGCGCAGTGCAGATGTTAGTGCTGAGGATCTAGAACAGGAGTTGCGCGAGGAGGTTCGAGATATTGAGTATATACAAGGCCTACAATGGACGGAAACGGCAACCCCTCTTTGGATTGTGGCATCGCATGCGCATGAGTCGGACTTGACGTCACCAGCATTTTACACCATGTCTGTGAATTCCATCAAGTTTGATCCAAACAAGGAACATGTTTCGACTAGGATCAAGCTTGGCGGAAGTTATGTCTTGATTTGGAAACCGGACGAGGTCATCGACGACAGTTCCCTTGAGAGCCTGAGTCCAGAACTGGGCTATCAAGGCATGGTTGAGGAGGTCAATAACATGGAGGCATGCAAGGCAGGTCGTTTGGCTGATGGATATGAGGTACAGAGTTTGAAGAAAAGGTACCCACATGCCAGGATCATACCTTCGAGATGGGTGTCGGCCTGGAAGTCAGCTTCCAGGGTGCGTTGTCGAATTGTGGCCAAAGATCTGCACTCAGGGGTGTCGGCGAGAGCCTTAGGAATCTCAAGTCCCACGCCGGCGGCTGAGGCATTGCACTTAGTGTTGACAATTTCGGCCAACCGAAAGTTTCGACTTCGTTCGCTTGACATTTCACATGCATTCATGCACTCCCCACTGCCAAAAGGATCCTTGATTGTGTTGAAACTTCCACAAAGTGTTAGTCTAGAGAGTGGTGAGCCAGCGTTCTTGATCTTGGAACGATCGTTGAATGGACTGCGTGATGCCAGTCTGCATTGGCTTCAACTGCTTTCCTCTACGATCAAGGTGCTTGGAATGACGGCAGATGAGACAGAGCCATGTTTGTATCAGGGACGTATTCAGGACCACAAAGGGAGAGAAATTGGGTCGAGCATATTGCTAGTGTACGTTGACGACATGTTGATTGGATGCTCGAATCAGGAGACCGAGGAAGTGATCACCAAGGCGATAGCAGCAGTGGTACCAGTCAAGGTCACCGGACAGATTCTTCCGGGATCACAATGACTTTCTAGGTCGAAAGATCTACAAGACACCACAGGCAGATCGGCTAGCATTGTATGTACCTCCAACGTACATGGATTCGTCCTTTGAGGAGTATGGCATCAAAAGGGGATCGCAAGCAGCTCCAGACGTCGCAGCACAACTGGAGAAGACCGATGAGGTGTCGAGCATGAAGTTGTCACCAGAGGCGTATGAACGATTCAGAAGATGCTTGGGACGCTTGTTGTGGCTTTCACAAAGTCGTCAGGAGCTTAAGCTATGGTTGTCGCTCATTGGGGTGAAGCAAGCAGACCCGACGCAGGCAACGGAAGCAGCATTGAGAGCAGTTCTCAGGTATCTCATGGGTCATAGGCAAGTAAGCTTAGTGTTTCCATCACCACAGCTTCCCGATGACCATGTAGGAGAGGATTTGTTGAGCATGCACATCCATGGGTACTGTGACGCCTCCCATGGACCTTATCGATTTAACATGAGGAAAAGCATCTCCCCGGAGAGGTGCTGATGTTTGAACGAGGGCTCATTAGGACAGCGGCCAAGCAACAACAGCCAGTTGCACTCAGCTCGTGCGAGGCAGACACATATGCTTTACAGTCAGCGTGTCAGAGTGCAGTGGGCTTGGCTAAATTGGTGAAGAGAGTGATGATAGGTCTAGGAGAGGCATCCGAATCAGATCAAGTGCAAACGGTGATGTTGACAGATTCGGCATCGGCGCAACAGTTGATTCAAGGAGTTGATATTCCACGGCGGTCGAGGCACATTGAGATACGCTTGTCTTGGTTGCAGAGCAAGATCGCAGAGCAGCAGATTCAGCTCAGGTTCATCCCTGGAGTGTCCAACGCAGCAGACATGTACACAAAGTGCCTTAGTACCACACTTATGGATAAGTATGTGTCTTGGTTGGGCTTTGAAGAGATTTCAGGGCCATCTAGGGATTTGCACTTGTTGAACCAAACGATAGACGTATGAGACGCGTATCCATTTGTGTTCATTGAGATTTGCTGTGAAAGGAACTCCCAGTTGCGATTGGCATGCAAGACGTCCAAGATCCCATACATAGGCATCACCTCAGACGTGCAATCAAAGGCATTGCAAAGACGGGTATGCGAGTTGATGCGACAGCACCGTGAGGCAGGCAGATGGATTCATGGGCATGCTTCAACGCCCTGCTCGAGTGGAAGTCCGTTGAAAGGATTCAACGCAGACAAGGAGCCAACAGCGAGTGATGTGGAATGGGAATCAATCATGAAAGCGTTGCCAGTCATCATGGAACAGTGTGATTCACGAAGCTTTGAGTTGCCGTGGCGTAACAACATATGGAAGCGCGAACTGACCACATCGGTGTTGCAAAGCTTGGGTTTGAGCCAGGTATGTAAAGTGTACTTGTGTCAAACTGGTGTTGTGAGTAGGAACAACTTGCCCGTTGGGAAAGCCTTGGCGTTCGTGTCGACAAGCAAGGGTTTCTCAGAATCGCTGTATCGACGGTTCGGAACTTGCACATGTGTGGAACATGCACCAATGGATGACGTGGACTACACAAGGACAGCAGCGTATTCGAAACAGTTGGCAAGGGCGATCCTAAGAGCAGTAACACAGGCAAGGAAGGATCCCTGAGGGATCATTCAACGTGAGTGTCACCAGCTTAGCAGTTGGGCCCCCAGCGCGTGGATCCTAGATTTAGAAGTTGGAACCTTAGAACGTTAGGGACCTAGCATCGTGATTGGCCTTAGGCCAGGCACTTAGTAGTGTCCAAAGCATGGCACTGTCGATTTTGTGGCGCATCGTAGATGTATGCATGTTTTAAGACATGGCATTCACAGGTGTGACCCACACACACATAAGAGGCATAATAAGCTTTGTGTATGTTTGTTTGTATGTGTATACATGTATGGTTTCTTGTGGTGCTTGTGTTGTTTTGCCTTAATAATGTGATAAGCTTTTGCCATTGGCGTACTTCACAAAGTGGAAGTCGAAGGATCGAAGGATCGAAGGACAGTTTTTTTTGTTTGTTTGGCAAAGCCAAGAGCGTGAGACATACTCGCTCAAGCTTGTGTGATCGGGCACTGGCGAGTTTGATCGCGTGGCAGTGACTGGTGAGGTTCCTTTTGGGGTCTTTCCGGTTGGTTTGTTTGGAGGTTGCAGCAGAGCACTCATCGGTTAGTGTGCGAGCCATGGCAGCTGATGATCAGTTTGACCTTGTTGGTCTGACTGAAGAAGAGCAGAGCATGCTCACGATGCTTGTTGCCAAAGCATCTATGGGAAAGGGTTCATCGTCTGCTGAGCTTGGGGCTATGACGGATGCACCGAAGCGGCGTGGCGATGAGATTGAATCCAGGCCGAAGGCAAGGGGCATCGGCACCTATGCTTCAATCCCTGTGCCACCAGCACCGGAGCTTGGGGAAAAGATGGTGACCATCACCTTTCCAGAAGGCATCGCAGATTTGCCGACATGGGGAGCAACCTTGATGACATGTGGCCCGGTGGCATCTGAGCGGCTTTCGTATGAGGAGTTGCGATCATCGGAGAATGCAGAGCATGTGCAGTATTGCAAATGGTTGATGGCACGAGCAACTACGATGAAAGGGCAATTCGATGTGTTCATTCGAAGGATGATAACTCATTATAATCCCAGAAGAGCAGGGAGCGTGTGACCGGTCCTAGCTGTTTTTTGTTTGCTGACGCCTCATATGTGTGCTCTCGGCTCGCGTGTGTGCTTCGGGCCTTATGTGTGTGCATTCGGTATGTTTTTGGTTCCAGTGGCACAAGTGCTCAACATCGGTCTACGAATGCGTAGCCTTTTCTTTCCCTCTTTAATAAAAAGAAACATAATGCTCACACTTGTATGTGCACTGAAATGCATAACTGAAAGATGTTTAGTTATGATGTGCTTGTACGTGTGTTAACTTATGTGAAACGCTTTGTCGCGCATAAGACACCGCAACGCGTTCAATGATGTTTCGCCCGCTAAATTTATACTTTCAAGGGAGGCGTGGGTGGGTGCTTTCATGAAATGTCATGTCATGAAAGCCATATGATCTTTGACACATGTTTGTCGAAACTAGTTAACTCTTTTTACCGCGGCGGTCCGCCCGGTTCATGGTGGCGCGCTTCCGTCGTGCCCCCGTCCGTGAGAAAGGCCAAGCGGCTCATCGACAGGCCGTTCATTTGGACCTGGAGCTTGAGGCACCTGCGCAGAGTTTTCTTCGCGCAAGGCTCCTGTTTTACTTGTTGGTCGCATTTTTCACGGGCTGTGCATTCACCATTTGGTATTTGCTGACCTTTGAGTGATTGTGTATGCTACCTTGGGCTACACCTGAGCTTCGTTCTCATCCAGCCTGGACCTCGGTGGCAGTTGCCAACAATTTTGATCTTGCGCGCTGGGAGCGCTGGTCCCAAGATTTGCGCATCCCCTTCGTTTGTTGGCAGCTTGGATCACTCCCTCGTAACCTCATTGTGTTTGAGTTTCTCGCTTTGACCGACATCGCCAGTTTCCGTGTCGTGAGCTTCGGGTGGAACCTTGAACTTTTAGATTCTGCTGCCGAGTTTGAACAGGTGTTGTATTGTCGCCTTCACCGCATCGCTTGGCAGGACTTTCTTTCTTTTCAGGTGCCAGATCCCCCCCTTGCTCATGTCTCTGAAGCGGACTAGGGATGATGCCGACCTGGCCTCAGATTCGAATGCAATCATTGGATCACACATTCTTTCGTGCATGAACCAAGCGAAACATGTTTTTTCCAGCCGGATTAAAATGCCTTGGGAGCGCCAGTTCATCGGACCTTGGGACAGAGCCTCAGAAGTCTTGAGCGTCGCAAAACCAGTTAAAGATCTCTACATGCCCGTTCCATCAGAGGAGACAAATAGACAGCATTTTGATAACCATGTGAGAATCACCGCATTTCGAAAAGCCGGTATTCGCTTGATTCGAGATTGTGACCAAAAACTTTGGGCTGACAGATTATCCAACGAGAGGAAAGCTGCAGTTAGGAAGTGGACCTCACTCGTTGCCGAACAGCCTGGAGCTTGGGACATTGCTGTGAGACATTTCTCAAATGGTGAAATGACGCAAGTTGGACAATTGGCTGATAGCGTAAAAGATGCATTGGCTACAAAGGCATCAAGCACCTTGCACTCGAGGGCAAATCCAATGTTCAGGTTCCTGACATTTTGCAAAGAGCATGGGCTGACAGCTTTTCCAATACTCGAAGCCAACGTGTACATGTTCTTGAAGCATCAGGATTTTGCTCCGACTTTTCCTCGAAGTTTCCTCATCAGCCTCGCCTTTTCCTTCCACGTCCTGGGACTGAGGGGTGACAAAGGGGCGCTGACAGGGAGGACAAAAGGAGTTGCACATGAATGGTTCTTGAAGAAAAGGAAGCTCTTGCAACGACCTCCACTGTCTGTCAACCAAGTCGTATTTCTTGAGAAGCTGGTCATGGACGAGTCAAAACATGTGCGAGACAGGGTAGCTGCAGGCTTCTTCGCTTTTGTTCTTTACAGCCGGGCAAGGTATTCAGACGCTTTGCATGTGGAGAACTTGAAGAGCGACATCATCGATAGGGGTGGTTGTATGTATGGATTTTTGGAGGCCGAGTCCTCGAGAACCAAGACGAGCACGACACTTGAGCGGAAAACAAGATTCCTGCCGATGACTTGCCCCGTCAACACAGTTGGCGGGACCAGATGGGTCGACATGTGGATGAAGCTCAGGTGCTCGGAGGCATTGGAGGCAGGCCCAAACAAACCGCTGCTTCCTGCACCAGCTGACCGGGGCGGATGGTCAAACGTTCCACTCACAGCAACAAGCGCGGGAGCGTGGTTGAGGTCTCTCCTCGAAGGTTCAGAAGGTCCACCGGTGAGCTCATTAGGTACACACAGCCTCAAGGCCACAGTTCTGTCTTGGGCTGCAAAATATGGACTTGATGTGCCAACAAGGCGTGCTTTGGGATACCACCAAGCTTCATCAGACATCAGTGTCCAGACGTACAGTCGCGATGCAATGGCGGGGCCTCTTCGATCAATGCAGAAAGTTCTTGATGCAATCTCCGAAGGAGAATTTCTTCCCGATGAGACTCGTTCGGGATACTTCAGGAGTGGCAGTCCAGCTAACGTGGTGACAGGCCAGCCGGCTGAGATCCCGAGCTCCAGTGAGAGCTCAGCTGACGAAGAGGACCATGAATTCGAGAAGGACGAAGAAGCCATTGATTCGTGTGCTGGGACACGGCAATCCAACATGGAAACCCCTTGGATGGCTTTAGCTGCAGTGTATTTCAGGCGCAAGACAAGCAGGTGCATTCATGTACTGCAGGACGAGGCAGGCGCTGAGTTCATGTGCGGTCGTCGATTGTCGACAGCATATACTCGGTTACCAAAGAAGCCTGACTTCTTGCATCCGATATGCATCGCATGCGAAAGGGCGGTGATAAGGGCGAGCTGAATGCAGACTCGCAATTTTGACTCGAGGCCAGGCCATTGGTGTGAAAAGACAAGCTAATCCAAGTGGACAATGGCAATGTTCAATGAAAGATGTTTCATTGATAGACATGTCAACCGCCATGTTTTTCCACCGAAGTGAATGCATTTCGGTCGCGTGATACAGTGAATGCACTTTTGGCTTTGAGCTCAATGTCATAGATGAACATTTTCTGTGTGTTCACGATGGCTAAACATGAATTTGTAGAACGTATCTGACGGACACATGTCCCTTCTTCTTTTCTAAAAATTCGATACCTAAGTCTTTTTATGGAGGCCTAAACAATTCGATGGCCACTGAGCCTGGGCCATCGAATTCTTAGGACTGTTGCCGTCAAAGTTTATGGGTTCATGTGAGGGACTAGTTCTAGTCATAACTATAAACCGTCATTGGCATGCCAACAACAAACTTTTTCTCTGACTGCACTTGAACGTAGAAGTCCAGTGTCCCCGATGTCGCTTGTCGATTCAGAAGCGGTGTTTAAGAGTCGAGCAGTCGCGATTGGTCTCACAGATGAAGTCATTGGACTCCTTCGAGACTGCGGATTGACGACAATGGGAAAACTCGCTTTCGCTTCGAGTTATGTGCCTGGAAGCAGTGATGATGCTCCTTTTATCACACTTGTCAAAACAGCGTTGAAGCGCGAACCAACAATATCTGAAATGGCGGGGATCCGCAGGATCTTCAATGAATCATATGCTGCAGCATCCTTGGAGATGAAGTCTTTGGTTGAACAATCAGAGGAAGCACCAGTTCGCAAGTTGGCTGCGGCGGAACGAGCAGAAAGGTTCAGAGAACAACAGCGACGACTTCGGGGCATTAAAATACAGGGACAACAGGAACCAGGAGACTCGTTGGTAGACTTGGCAGTTTCAATCTACGAGTCGGATCGCTTGAAACACATCCCGTGGGAACAATGTGTGTCAAGGGAGCACGAAATCCTCACCTCGACGAAGAAGGACCCCATGCTGTCATTTGATTCCAGCGGTACATTGAAGGTGGCCAAGAAGGACAGCGTGGCCCCTTGTGACGTGTCCTCCGAGCTTCATGTCCGCTACTGTTTGGTGCGCAGAGGTCTGGCAATGGAACAGGCGAACCTTTTGTCATTTGAGAAACATGATTCATGGTGCGAGTTGCTTTTCCACAGGAAGATGACAGATCCTCCACCTGGTTACAATAAGGTGACCTTCAAACAGCTGCAGTTGGCAGACGCCAAGCTATTTGTCGTCCTGGGTGAGGCCACGCGGGATGGCATTAAGGTTGCTGCAGATGGCACGAGGCCGTGTGACCGCGTTTTTGACCAGGCCATGAATCACACAGAAGTCCAACACTTGTTGCAGCCCATGCCATTGCCTGCGAAGTCCCACGAAGGCAGAGAAGAGAAACAGTCAGGACCTGCGTCTCCAGTCCGAAAGACCACATTGAAGAGTAAGGGCAAAGGATTCGGAAAGCAAGGGAAGAATGTTTGGAGGCCATCCATTCCACAAGAACTGCTCTCCATGGGTTGTGTGGGAACTACCAATCGTGGAAACCCCCTTTGCTTCGACTACCAGTTCAACAGGTGTACATTGACAGTGCAGAATCAGCGTTGTTCGAAAGGCCTTCATTTGTGTGCCATGCCACGGTGTCACAAGAATCACGCGGCCAAGGATTGTCCCTCTGGCCGGAAGCGAGAGTGACTAGATGTAGATAAGAATTCAGGTTCTACAGAGGCTCCAGCCTACAAACGTACCCGAGCACTGGAGGACCCTTTTGCATCGTTTTGCCGTCAGGTTGAGCTTGATCCCAAGGCCTCAACCCCAATTTTTGTCGAATTATGTGCAGGCAGTGGTGCTCTCAGTTCAGTTTTTGCTAAGTCTGGCATAACGGCTTTAGCCTTCGACTGTGAGCGCAATAGGCACGACACTTTAACTACCGTTCGAATGTTGGATTTGGCTTTGGATGAATCATGGATAATGCTTGATTTTCTTCGCAAATTGCCAAGGAGAATCGTTTGGCACATGGGATTGCCGTGCGGAACTTGCAGCAAAGCCAGAGAGATCAGCCTTGTTGGAACTAGACCTGGGCCTCCGCCGTTGAGAGGTTGGGGCCACTTGCTAGGCTTTCCTTGGAACTCCAAATCCGATAAGATCAAAGTGCATTCGGCAAATGAATTGTATTCCAGAGCTTTTGCATTCGCAC